CAACACATTTATTATGGTATTTTCATCTTTTATAGGGCTAGTTAATGGAAATAAAGTTGTTTATTGTAAGTTACTGTTAACTCACAGTGCAATATAATGATATTACTCGGCTGTCTGGAATAATCGATTCTGATATGCAATTATAAGGGGTTTAAATACAGTTGTGTAGCATCAGTGTGTGAATATAGTTATGGTAACACTTAATTTATTATTTTTTTTTCATAATCATACTTCATAAAAATAATCTTCAAAAACACTTTGATTGACATTCTCCCAGGGGGAAAACACATCAGGGGGAAAACCCCGCCCATTAGTGCCGATTGCTCCCACATTAGCATAGATAGCCCTGAGTAAGAAGAAGCCATCCGCAGTTAGAGTTTTAACTGAATAGTCTGTGATTAAAAGGCATTATAAATGTTCTTCTGAGCCACTTCTTTTGACATCTTCAGTTTTTTTCAGTCCTTCTTTTGAACCTCCTGCCATGCTGGAACATAGCCATATGAAGCTCCACCCCTTTTTTAAAAAGAGCACAATCTCATTTGAATTTAAAGCGACAGCCCCCAAAACGTCACAGTTTGGATCAAAGCCTAAACGGGGCTGTTTTAAAGAGCTATGAAAAGTTATTTGTGTGGGCTTTTGAGCTGAAACTTTACATACACACTCTAGAGACATCCGAGGCTTATTTTATATCTTAAAAAGGGGCATAATAGGTCCCCTTTAACACATGCATCAATTCATTAGTCCGTTTATGTATCACATTTACTTGTCCTGGTGTTTTGTGATGGTGTTTTCTAGTCATGCTGCATACTAGTATTCACTCAACCTGATCAAATGCTGATTTACACACACAGATACACACATGTACACACTCACAGCATGAGATGACACCCACTGATGTGTGAACACATACCAAACTATGTCAGACAGCTTTGGTTGCTGATGCTTTGCTGTGGACTGAAGGCAATATTTGCTTGAAATCAATATAGCAGTTCAACATCCTCTCTCTCTCTCTCTCTCTCTCTCTCTTTCTAGCTCTCTTTTTCACAACCGCTACAGTTTGTACACTGTAGATTTGCCAGTTATTATGTATTACAATTATTAGAGTATTATAATTATGTTTATGTAATATTATTATTTTGAATTGCTTAATGACAGTGCAGTCTGTGTTTTTGTGCTCTGGACTTATATTAAAGCCCACAGGTTTTACTTTCCAGCTCTAAATCTATCTCTTTCCATCCATTGTACACTTTAATACTGGCAATTATCAAATGTAATCTCTGAATTGGTTTAAAAATGATTGGGTGAGAGTACATTATCTTCTTATCAATGGCTATTGAATAAATAAAATACAATAAATGTGCAGGTACATGCAGAATTGGAGTTTTAATTGGGGACCAAATAATTGATTTGAGATTATTTTGTGATATGAGAAGTAAGAGAATCCCAATTTATGTTGCTGACATCACTGAGCCAATGTTACATTTTATATAAATAAAAACTAAATACAGTTTAGCATCATTGTATAGAATTACACAGAGCTGAGCACTGTGTTCCATTATGATAGTTTGAATGTTGATGTTGTTCATCATTATTGGCAGTCAATCAGAGTTTGGCTTTAATAGCTGTTTCTTTACTTGAATTGCTTTATTAATAAACCCATCGAGTTGTTGAAGGGACAGTAAGGGATGCTGTAGTGGTGGGCTGTTATCGGTGTTAACGTGCTGAGACTCTTATCAGGCGATAAAAAAATGTATTGCTGTTAATCTATTCTCAAAGTTGGATTGGGAGCTGGGTCTATCCTACGCAAGCAATGCTGACTTTCACCTTGATAATTTTTAGTGTGGATGTATACATGACCGAATTGCACTGTATACAGAACGAGTCTTTGAACCTGTGTGTATTCCTACTGTGAAATTACCACATCAAACATGACATGCTAACATGGGTGCAGTTCAATCTGATTAATCTTTGCTCCACATCTAACTATCAGGCACCTGTAGAGTTTATGCGTTGGAGTAAAACATATACAAATAAAATGGAGCGGGTGCTTTTTAAAATGAATGACGGTGAATGAAAGTCAAACTGGTGATCCATCTGACAAAAAAATGCCCTTCTGAATCAAATCAGCAGGATACCCTTGGATCTTTCACTTACTTCGAAGATACTACTTGCTATGCTTACATGGACATCAGTAATCTAGTTATTTGCCTTAATAGACAATAATATATTTAAGGTGTGTACGTGAAGTGCTTTCATGTAAGAGTTTCCTGTAATTTTGAGTGACTTTAACTGCAGTTCGGCAGTTTCACTTTCACTCATGAACATTTCACTCATGCCCCCGAGACACACTGGGGTATTATACACAAATAATGAGTAAGGACTGGGACAGGGAAAAAAGAGTGTTATGGAGTTTGAAAACGCACGCTGAATGGAAAGAACAAAACTTCAGCATCTTGTGATGTGTGTTTGTGTGTGTGCGAGTGTGCGGTCCTTTACTGACAGCCGCTTGTGTGGATCTTGTCGGAAAATGTGTCAAAGTCCTACATGACGGTAATAGTTTGATCGCAGTGTTTACTTCAATAATGCCACTGATATCTGCATACTCCACGTGTCTTATTTTTATTTCTGTTTAGTTCAGTTATGAATTTAGTCGCATTAAGCTAATCAAAAATTGCTGTTTTGAGCTTATGTAGGCCTACAGTTAAAAATTCATGTTTTACTGAATAAACATTTAGTGAACACAAGTACATCTTATTGAACATCATTTATTTTCAAAGCCAATTATCAGAGTAGAACAGTTTCTCAAGCAGTTTGTGATGCAATTTGGAAACAGGAGATGGGCCCCTGTCAAATGCGCCACCTGGCTTGAGAAACCTATTCTCAAAGACTTACTTTTAGTCATTTTTTGGGTAGCAAACATATTCTGAATGCATCCTGGCCAAATTTGCCCACTAAATAACAAATGAAAATGTGCAATGTTTTCACTCATGTTGTACTTATCATCAATGTTTCAGAATCATATTTGGAGGAATAAACCTGATTTTCGGTCACATCTCAAATATGAACATTTTACTCAAACCCACACCCAATAAATCCAGTAAATTTAGATGAATGGTTGCTTTTCTCCTAATATTTTTCCATAGCTGTATAAATTAAAGGATGACTCCAAAATGAAAGCAAATATTCCAAAGAACTATTTCACTGCGAGGTAACCAATATCAGATCATTAGAATTGTTTTGCAACCTAATCTGGTAATTATGCCTTTTTTTAATTGCTCGTTTAGATCTGTTTAAAACTGCAATACAGCCTACAGGGAAATAAAACTAAAATTAAGTTTTACTCAAAAACCTAATATTGCCATATTCATTCAATAACAAATGTTTCCACTCAGGTTTATATTCAGATTCAATGTTTCAGAATCAATATTTTGTGGAATACACCTGATTTTTAATCGCATCTCAAACATTTTACTCAAACTTACACCTAATAAATCTATAAATCGACATAAACGATTACTTTTTAATTAGTCTCCTAATGTTTTTCCATCAGTATATATATATATATATATATATATATATATATATATATATATATATATATATTGAAGTTATATATTTCTGTTTAAGTCAGAATTATTAGCCCCCTTTTAATTTTTTTTTTTTTTATGTTTTCCAAATGATGTTTAACAGAGCAAGGAAATGTTTCACAGTATGTCTGATAATATTTTTTCTTCTGGTGAAAGTCTTATTTATTTTATTTTGGCTAAAGTAAAAGCAGTTATTCATTTTTTAGAAATCATTTTAAGGTCAAAATGATTAGCCCCTTTAAGCTAAATTTTCTCGATAGTCTACAGAACAAACAATTATTATACAATAACTTGCCAAATTATCCTAATCTACATAGTTAACCTAATTCACATAGTTAAGCCTTTTAATGTCACTTTAAGCTGTTAGAAATGTCTTGAGAAATATCTATTATTTATATTAGTATTAGTATTAATATTATTTACTGTCATCATGGCAAGTATAAAATAAATCAGTTATTAGAAATGAGTCATTAAAACTATTATGTTTAGAAAATGTGCTGAAAAAATCTTTGCTTAGTTAAACAGAAAAACACAACATTTAAATAAAAATTCTCTCAAACACATAACTATATTGTCATTTTCATTAAATAACAATTGAAAATGTGCAATGTTTTCACTCACGTTTATATTCGTAATCAACATTTCAGTTTCAATATTAGGTGGAATAAACCTGATTTTCAATCACATCTCAAACATGAACAATTTCCTTAAACACACGCCTAATAAATCCAGTAAATCTAGATAATCGACGACTTTTCATGTGTTCTCGTAATATTTTTCCATAGCTATATGAATACATTTTTAAAAATATTTAAATTTCTCTGTAAGATAACCTTTATCCGATTATTAGAATTGCTAAATAGCAATTGAAAATGTGCAATGCTTCTCCCCATGCTTATATTCGTATTAAATACCAATATCATTATTTCAAAATTATTATTTGGTGGATTAAACCTTTTTCAATCGCATCTCAAATATGAACTCAAACCCACACCTAATAAATCCAGTAAATCTAGATAAATAAATACTTGTCATGTAGACTCCTAATGTTTTTCCATAGAGTAGCTAAATAAAAAAAAGACTCTAAAATGAAATTAAATATTCCAAAGAAGCGTTTCACTGCGAGATAACCAATATCAGATCATTAGAATTGTGTTTTGCGAGCTAATCTGATTATTATGCATTATTTAATGATGATGCTGTAATCTTTGTTTTTACTGCTCTCAGATCTGTGTTAAACCGGCATTATAGCCTACAGGTTTGATGCTTGAAAATGCTTAATCACAGCACACATCTAACCTCTCTTTCTCTTTCTCTCCCTCTTTCTCTTTCTTTCTCTCTCTAATCCTTTCTTCCATCTCCCCCTCCCCTCTTTTTCTCTCTCTCTCTCTGCGCTCATATGTGTGTGTGCAGCTCCCCTTGTGTGTGTGTGTGTGTGTGTGAGAGAGAGAGTGTATGCATGAGGGAGGCACTATGCAGTCGGAGCTCCACACACACAGAGCATGCCTGTGAGTGCGGGCTCGGGCAAACATGAGCCTTCCCAGCCCAGAGATCGTCCACAGCAGCAGCCTGAAGTCCCGTCTGAGCCCCCCTCAGCCCTCCCCTCCGTCTCTCCCTCTCTCTCGCTGCCTCTCTCTCTCCCTCTCCTCATCTACTCTCGCCCTGCGCAGCCTCTTCCCCGCCACCTCTCCAGCAGCACCAGCCGGGGGGAAAGCGCCCGCTCTCCGCACGCCGACGTTTGCCGAGCGCCGGCCGGCCCCATGGAGGAACCCCAGGGCAACACACTGGTCGTCCGCATAGGCATCCCTGACCTGCAGCAAACGGTGAGTGAGCGCTCCAAACTCCCTCTCTTTTTCTCTCTCGCTCTCTCTCGTTGTCTTTCAGCATGCACGCGATTGTTCTCTTTCTTTTGCTTCTCTTGAATGCAACCTGTGTTGATTGGCACGACTGCGGTGGACTTTGCAAACTGGTGGGTTACCGCAGATTTACTGTAATTCATAGGGACTTTTTTCCTTGCCGTGAGGCTGTCAGACTTCTCTCTTTCAATATGCATGTGATCATTCTCTCTTTACCCTTTCCTCTTGAATGCAACCTGTGTTGATTGGTGCGACTGCGGTGGACTTTGCAAACTGGTGGGTTACTGTAGATTTACTGTAATTCACAGGGACTTTTACTGTCCTCCCTGTCGTGCAGCTGTCAGACTTCTCTCTTTCAGTGTGCTTGTGATGGTTCTCTCTTTATGCTTTTCTTTTTTTTTTTTTGCTCTTGAAGTGAATGATTGGCGTGACTGCGGTGGAACTTGCAAACTTGTGGGTTACTGTAGATTTACTGTAATTCACAGGGACTTTTTTTCTTCATTTGTTTAGACTGTCAGACTTCTCTCTTTCATTTGATTGTGTTCTCTTTATAGTTTTGCTCTTGATTCAATGATTGGTGCGACTGCGGTGGACCTTACAAACTGGCGGGTTACCGTTGATTTACTGTAATTTACAGGGACTTTTTTTCTTATTATAAGGCTGTCAGACTTCTCTCTTTCAATTTGCATGTGATCATTCTCTCTTTACGTTTTTGCTCTGAATTCAATCTGTGTTGATTGGCTCGAGTGCGGTGAACTTTGTAAAATGGTGGGTTACTGTAGATTTACTGTAATTCACAGGGACTTTTACTGTCCTCCCTGTCGTGAAGCTGTCAGACTTCTCTCTTTCAGTCTGCATGTGATGGTTCTCTTTTTATGCTTTTCTTTTTTTTTTTTTTTTTTGCTCTTGAAGTGAATGATTGGCGCGATTGCGGTGGAACTTGCAAACTGGTGGGTTACTGTAGATTTACTGTAATTCACAGGGAATTTTGTTTCTTCATTTGGTTAGGCTGTCAGACGTCTCTCTTTCAGTATGCATTTGATTGTGTTCTCTTTATAGTTTTGCTCTTGATTCAATGATTGGTGCGACTGCGGTGGACCTTACAAACTGGCGGGTTACCGTAGATTTACTGTAAGTCACAGGGACTTTTTTTCTTATCATGAGGCTGTCAGACTTCTATGTCTCTTTCAATTTGCATGTGATCATTCTATCTTTACGTTTTTGCTCTTGAATTCAATCTGTGTTGATTGGCTCCAGTGTGGTGAACTTTGCAAAATAGTGGATTACCGTACATTTACTGTATTTCATCGAGACATTTTTTTCTTAATGTTGTGAGGTTGTCAGACTTCTCTCTTTTGGTATGCATGTAAATGTGCTCTCTTTACAGTTTTGGTCTTGGATTCCATGATTGGTATGACTGTGGTGGACTTTGCAATCTGGTGGGTTGTCGTAGATCTACTGTAATTCACCGGGGCTTTTTTTATTTCATGGGGCTGTCAGACTTCTCTATTTTATTATCCATGTGATCATTTTCTCTTTACATTTTTGGTCTTGAATTTAATCTGTGTTGATTCGTATGACTGTGGTGGACTTTGCAAACTGGTGGGTTACTGTAGATTTACTGTAATTCACGGAGACTTTTTTTTTTTTCTTGTCGTCTTTTGCTCTTGAATGCAATGATTAGTGTGTTTGCAAACTAATGAATACAGTGGGTTATCATAGCTTAACTGTAATTCCCTGGGACTTTTGCCATACTGTCGAAAGGCTGTCAGACTTTGACAGTGAGGTTGTACTGGGCCCCCAGGGGCCTCTCGAGCGACATATGGTGCTGATAGATCTGAGAGTGACATATTGAAGTGCAGTTACTCACCTGTTTCTTTAGGACAGATACAGGTGTTATGGTTGCAGGTGTCATTTTCTATTTAAATAAATATATTTTTTTTTTACTTTACAGCTACACTGAAAAAGATAGTTCATTGCAAATTGTTGTAAACAATGTATATAAGCCAAATTTAAACAAACAAATTAAGTTGATCATTACTAAATTTAATCTGTTTGTATAAATTCAGTCTAAGTAACTTGTTTACAACCATTGACCTTAAAAAAAGTTAATAAACACAATAAATACTTTTTTCAGTGTTGATGTGTTTGAACTTTGTCTTTTTAAAATCTTTTTTAGGAATGTGAAAGAATGATTTCGGCAACTAGAATTTATAATTTTTTTTCTGTGATATTGATGCTTTACAGTATCTGAAGTCTTGTTGCCTATCCAAGTTTTAGTATCAACAAATAATAACTTGTCTTCGAGTTAATCATTTGGTATCAGAAGTAGCTCATTCGAAAGGCAAAGGCCTCTAGATTACACTTATTTTACCAAAATTAAATATGATCATGCCTTGATTTTTATTCATTTAATTAGGACAGTAAGGTCTGACTTTGCTTAGACAAAAGTCTTGTAAATGAGTGTATCGTGACGAAATTGACACGTGTGGATATCTGATGTAAAATAAATGAAGAAACACATAATTGGATGGACTCTTGTGTTGTGATCAAGTGAAAGAGCACTAATACATGTCAACTTGTTAAATGATCATAAGAAAGTTCCCTACACGTCCATTAGATTTACTTGCCAATTATGTATTGTATTGTACATTTCCATCCACCTAAACTTGACTCAAAGATTTTGCCTTGCAATACTACTGACCTCTTGAATCAGAGTAGCAGGTTTGCATGAGGGATTTAGAGGCTGACAAGGGTGCAGAGTGTAAGGTGAGGGTGTCAAAATATGAATAATGTTTTTATAACTTTATGCAAACAGCTGTCAGGCAGCCGATGTGTCTGGCAATGACATCTGTCGGAAATGTTTCAAAAATCTGCCTATAGTGCTGCAGCTTGCTTTAGTCAGGTTTTTAATTCAGGTTTCAGATCCAATTTGCACACTGTCATTATACAGCTGGGTTAACAAAAGTATATATAATTGTCACTTATGCATGATTACTAAAAGTGTGTGTGTGTGAGGATTTTATTGAGTGTGCAGTGAAAGCAATTGTACACCACACCGAATTAACAAAAGGGTACACTTTGGGTGGTTTACTCTTTTTTCATGTGGAAAGACTTTATATTTAATTGGAAATGAAGTAAAAACAGCAATATTAAAAGGGATTGATTCATTTACTTTTAAACTAAATTTTTTTTTATTTGGATTTATTTTAAAATATTATTTATTTGTGTAATGCAAAGCTGAATTTTTAGCATCAATTTAGTCTTCGGTGTCACCTGATCCTTCAGAACACATTCTAATATGGTCATTGGGTGATTGCATGTAAAAGGATGTGTCTGTGAAGACTGTGAAGTCTGTGCCAGGTCGCAGATAAAATAAAATAGCATTTCTAATAATAAAATAAATAAATATTAAAATAAAATATAAAATTCTAACAAAATGTATTTGTAAAATAAATGTAAAAAATATAATTATTACATTATTATAATAAATGAAATAAATAATAAATAAAATAAATAAATAATCAAATAAAATATCAATCATGATAAAATGTGTTTATAAATAAAATAAAAATTGTATAGAATAGTAATAAAATATAACAATAAATAAGTAAAATAATAAATATTACTATAAAATATGAAACCATAATAAAATGTATATATAAAATAATAATGATAAATTAAATAAATAAATAAACAAATAATCAAGTAAAATATCAAATCATAATAAAATGTGTTTTTAGAATAAATAAAAATGTTATGAAATAAAATAAATAAATAAAATAAATAAATAATGCAGTAAAATATCGAATCATGAAAAAATTAAAACATTTTATTATAATGAAATAATAATAATAATAATAATAATAATAATAATAATAATAATAATAATAATAATAATAATAAAATAAACAAATAAATAATAAATAAACAATACATAATAAAACAAAACTAAATACTAAATCATAAAAAATATGTTTATAAAATAAACTAAACAGTTATAATAATAAAATAGTAATAAAATTATTAAATAAATAAAAAATAAAATAAATACATGCTGAAATAAAATAAATGAATAATAAAATTAAACAAAATAATAAATCATATAAAATGTATTTAAAAATTAAATAAACATGTTATATTAATACAATAATAATAATAATAATAATAATAATAATAATAAAAATAATAACAATAATAATGAATAAAATTAATAAAATAAAATATCAAATCATAATAAAATATATTTGTAAAATAAAAAAAATATATATAATAATAAAATATTAAAATAAATAATAAATAAAATAAATAAATAATAAAATAAAATGGTATGAAATATCAATTCATGAAAATTTTTATTTATAAAATAAATAAAAGATATGCTGCATGACACATGAATATAATAGTCGAATACGAATGCACTCTAGTGACAGTTAGTTCTGTTAGTAAAAGTGCATGGGTTCATTTACATTTGCACTGAGATGGAACTTGTTTTGCATTCCAACAATATAGTCAAATATTGTAGACCTAATGGAAGAACTTAACAAATGATCACTGAAAACCCTATTTGGATGATGAGCACTTATATTTTTGATTATAAGGTTTTGCTGCATGTTTAGTTGGACCGCTCCAGTGCATTTGACACCTATAAAGTGAGTAACTGCATTGGAAGTGAGCTACAGATCAATGACTTATTTTAGCTTGCCAGAATTGTGTTTATCCTTCAATCTTTCATCCTTTTCTCAGCTTTATGAGCTTTATGTGTCCATGCATGCGTTAGGATGGACTTCTGCTTACATGTGAGTGTGTGTGTGTGTGTGGTTGTGTCAGAGCCTCATTAAAAGCAGAAAGCCATGGTGTTAACGGGTGCTGTCCTTTAGCAGGGCCCAAGTCTCTATGTTAATGACGAGAGGTGAATGAGAGCAGATAAAAAAGATGTGTTAAATGCCAGATTTTCACTGGCTCAT